TGTTTACGAGTCACAGCTACTACCAGAGGCGGATCTACTGTGAAACTAATGAAGCTTAAGCTTCAGAGCCCCCAATCCCAGGGGGCCCCTGAAGCAACTTTTTTTAAATGAGTAAATTTTTCAACAAAAATTAATGGAGTTTTTAAAGTGTTTATTAAAATAAGGCTATTTTAGTGACAGAATCATAAGCCAGTGGGTTGAAGTACTCAATACTGACCTTAGAGTGGAGCATGCTCAGTGTTGTAGCTTCCCTGAAAGTGGGCTGGTTGTTCCCAGCAGCCTAGCAGTTCAGCCTGGCTCAGGAAGAAGCTGCACCATAAGGCGAGGGAAAGGCATGCACAGATCTTGTTTCAAGCCTGCTTTGTATTACTGCAAGTAAACGTTGGTAATCTGTGCACAGGGGTTGTTTCGTAGAAAAAGAGCTAGGGGAACTCATTAGCATAACTCATTAGCATATGCCACACACCCTGACATCATAAGGCCCGGCGTGGACCTGCAAGGCAGGCGGGAGTGAGAGGAAGCCCCGCCAAGGCCCTCCCTGGCCCCAGGCAGGCAGGGGTGGGGAGAGGCGGGGAGGAAGCAACTTGCCCTCCCTCTTCTCCTGCCTCATCCTGGCTGAATGAGGGCCAGAAGCAGGGCGGCCGGAAGCAGGGGGCAGGGCTTCGTTGTGTGCCCCGCCCCCCACACCTCACCTGGGGGAACTGCAATCCCCCAAAAAATGACCTCTGGGTTCAACTATACCCTTCTTGTTTAGTTGCATACTTTTGACTCCGTTCCTTAATATGTGTTATTTGCATTGTGCAGTTCCAGGGAGGGAGAGGGGATTTGGATTTTTTGCCTCCCCCCCACCCCGCCGCCCACAGAGAACGCCCCGCCTAAAGTTGTCCAATGAGGCCAGGAGTGTCCTTCCTTAGACCCCCCCCCCAAAAACAGTTCTTTGGATCTCCCCCAAAACCTCCGAGGGAAGAGAAAGGTGCCAAATCTCCAGGAATTTCCCGAGCAGGAGGTGGCGACCCTCTCCGACAGGGGAGACTCCCAACTGAACCCCCTTCCCTCCTCCCGGGAAGGGAGAGGGGGGAGGCTCCCCGGCAGGCTGGTTTGGAGAAAGAGGGGGCAGGAAGAAGCATTTCCCGTGCAATCCTAAAAACCGCTTTCCTGGGAGGAAGCCCCACTGACTCGGAGGAGCCTGGGTCGACCTGCTCCCGGTGGGAGAGGGGGGGGGGGGGGGGGGGTCAGCAGTTTGCCTCCACCCCCCCCCCCATTTGCCGAAAGGGCTGAACAGCCTGGGGTCCCCCGTGCAGAGTTACTCGCGAGGTGCCCCCTCGAGCTGCACCGGAGGGCGTCGCCGCTCAGGACGGCAGCCTGGCTGAAGTCCGTCCCGTCCGTCTGGGTCTGGGCGCAGCGCCTTGTAGGGAGGAGAGGGCTTTTCTCATTCAGTCGTCTGCAGCACTGAGAGGGTTAAGGTGAGCGAGGTGCTTCCTAGAGAGGCCGAGCAAGGGGTGGGGGCCTGAGAGAGGGAGGAAAAGGTCTTTTCCTGGTTGGGAGGCTTTGCGATTGAGCGGCCAGAGACTCGGGAGGGCTTCAGATCTGCAACAGGAGAGAAAAGAGCCTTGTTGGAGCCGGATCTCGGGAAGGTTTACTCACAAGTAAGTCATGGGGGGATGGAGCTGCGGTGGCTCAAGTGGTTGAGAAGCTGAACAGCAGCCTGTGGAAGGTCGGTAGTTCAGCAGTTCGAGACCCGAGTGTGCCGCATGATGGAGTGAGCTCCCGTCTCTAGTTCCAGCTCCTGCCAACCTAGCAGTTCGAAAGCAAGAAATTGCAAGTAGATAAATAGGGACCACTTCGGTGGGAAGGTCACAGCGTTCCGTGCGCCTTAACCCTGGAGTCGGACTCGACTGGCTTTCGAGCAAGGGAACCTTTACCTTTACCTTACTAAGTCATGGGGGAGAATAAGCTTTTCAGTCCTGGAAGAGAGAAATGTGGCTGTCGAGTGAGTATTTTTGAGGGGGGGGATTTGGGATTAAATAGTTCTAAAAGGTCTGTTCCATGTAGAGAAAGGTCCGGCCTCTCCTCCTTCCTCCTAATGGCCTTCTCTGCTGCCCTTGGCATACAGGAGACCCTGCCTGCCTGTTGGGGCGCGGGGGGGGGGGGGGGTTGTTATT